AGGAAGCCATCAGCCAAATATGAAGATTCTATACCTTTTAGTTCTTTAGAAGAAGTCGTTTGAAGTTTTTGACATATTTGACCCCTGTGACCTTGAAAACAGGTCAAGGTCATTTTCGTTCTCAAACTTTGTAGGGCTCCTACCAACGAAGCTTTCAGCCAATTATCATAACTCTAGGCCAGTCCGTTCTTCAGAAGAAGTTGTTTAAAGGAAAAGTTGACGGACGACGACGGACGGACGACGGACGGACGACGACGGACGGACGACGCGCCACGGCATAAGCTCACTTGGCACTTTGTGCCAGGTGAGCTAACAAAAACAATGCTACAGGCTGTATATCATAACCTATGACTCGTTGCCATTCCAAAGAACTTGTAAAAGAATAAAACCCCTTTGACTGAAAGTGGATCAAGGTCATAAATATGTACACACTTGGTAGCCATTCATCCCAGCATACTACTGGCCAAATATGATCACACTGGGTCTTTTGGTTTTCAGAGGCTATTTCAAGATTTTTAGAACACTTGACCATTGTGATCTCAACAGTGGGTCAAGGTGGGTTAAGGTGGGTCAATGTTATTCATATGAACAAACACGCTAGCCCTTTATCCCAGCATGCTAGTGGTCAGTAATCATCACACTGGGCATTTTGGTTATTCGGAAGAAGTTGTTTCTAATCATTTTACCTCAGTGACCTTGAAAGTAGTTGAAGATCATTCATATAAAGAAACTTGTTAACCATTATCCCAATACACCTCTACCCATCAGATGCAGCAAAACATTAACCATTTTTGATTTTTGGATCTGAATTTCAATCACTGATATGACAGAAAAGGCATTACAATTATTTTTTTCTAATACATCCTTCATTCTTCTTTAATAATTTCAGAAATTATGGACTTCTAGGTTCTGATATTAAGGCACGTCCAATCTCTGTTTCAGGGCACCTTAATACAATTTGAGCAATGAGCAATATAAAGTTCACCACTTACCTCATTGATTCAAGGATGTTAGTCAAATCATCTTGATAGCTACAAAATATAGCAAATTATTTTCTTACATTCAAAACAGTGTGAAATAAAAGAAATATATGAATATATCCATTAATTTATGAAAGTAGTTGAACTAAAAACAGTGGATAAATTAACTTTTACTCATCTATGAATATATATTTTACAAAACATGATACATACAAAGTAAGCAAATCGCAACAAGTTTGTCAATAATTCAATATCTCTTCCTGTATAAACATAACACTACCTGTATCTAAAAAACACTAGTACCTATATATACGCAAATAACAACTTAACATTACCTGTATATATATATCATTACCTGTGTATACATAACACTACCTGTATATAGATAATATTACCTGTATATACATTATACTACCTGTATATACATTATACTACCTGTATATACATATCATTACATGTGTATACATTACACTACCTGTATAATACATAACAATTCCTGTATATGCTTAGAACTGTGTATACTACTTGTATTTAAGCAACATTACCTGAGTATATATTACACTACAGTGTATTCTAGCTGTAATACTTGTGTGTACAGTACTTACCCTGCATTGAATTCAGCCCAAATATAATTGCTCAAAGTTTTTGCGGTCATCCGATAAGAGGCAGACTCCATCTCCTTTATTACCTCCCTTGAAACAACGAAATTTGTACAAAGTGTATGTGTATAACTTTAGGTAAAAACTCAATGATGTGTAGACCATATTGATGATAGGTATTTCAAATGTATATATCATATAGGACCCTTGTCAACATAAGCCTGAGCATGCCCACAAAAACAAGAGGTCCATTGGACCTGTATCGCTCACCTGGTTTTATATCTAATTCATTACAACTGAATGCATTAGTACATCTTTATATGAAATTTCCTCAAATCCAGACAAGATCTATGTTCTAACCCAACTGGGACCACAATATCTGACTTTCAACTAATCAGGGGCCTCCATTGAGTTGCCATGTTAAGAGATTTTGAAATAAGTAATATGTCATATTACTGGATGTAATTAGACAATACTTCATTTATTTAGGAAATGATTGCCTTCCCCCAATGAAGTTTCAGAAAAAATTGGTTGAAATCCTCTCTGGCGTTAAGCATGAGATGCTTAATTTAGCAAATTTAGCTAAGTTCCCCTTCAGGGCTCCGCCCCCCTGGCCTCAGGGGTCAAACCAACCTCAATTATTTAAGAAATTATTGCCCATCCCTACTGATGCTTCAGATTAATTTGGTTGAAATCCTTTCTGGTGTTTAGGAGGAGATGCGTTTTAAAGCAAATTTAGCTAAGTTCCCCTTCAGGGCCCGTCCCCCCCTAGCCTCAGGCGTCAAACCAACCTCATTTATTTAAGAAATGATTGCCCTCCTCTAGTGATGCTTCAGACTAATTTTGGTTGAAATCCTCACAGGCGTTAAGTAGGTTATGCATTTTAAAGCAAATTTAGCTAATTTCCCCTTCAGGGCCCCGCCTCCCTGGCCCCAGGGGTTGAACCAACCTCATTTATTAAAGAAATGATTGCCCTCCCCTAGTGATGCTTCAGACTAAATTTGGTTGAAATCCTCTTTGGCATTTAGGAGGAGATAGGTTTTAAAGAAAAAGTTGACAACAGACGACGACAACGATGGACGACGGACGCTGCGTCTTCGGGCAGGTGAGCTAATAATACCTTAGACTTGACCCATATATATATCAAGGTTATTGTGAATAATGATTTCTATCCACGACTTACTTGACAGATTCTAACTGGCCATGTGCACTGTGATATCCAACAAGTTCTTCAAAGAATTCCTGCAACAGTAAGAAATCTTGATACAAGAGGCCAAGAGGGTCTATTACTCATAGGCTACAGCTTCTTGGACAGTCGGACGTCAACACCTTCACGTTAAAATGCTGCAGTAACTGGTTCACTGTTTTTAGGCTAAACTCAAAACAGCTCTTACAATTTCACATATGACTGATTTAATTTTAAACACTGCTAATCGATACAGATATTCCTTCCAAACTCACTAGCCCTAAAACGTCATTATATAATCGACGCTATTCTGGTGTTCTGCAAACTGACATGTTAACCTTTCTTTTTTTGCCGATAAATAAACAGGGGATACATGTACTAGTAGAATTTTGGCACTCACCATAAAAGGATCTTTGTCAGATCTTCAAAAGATGATCTTTTTCCTTCTTTGCTCTTTAATTTCCTTACAGGTACTATTACCTGCTATTTGCCACTATGAAAAATGTTATTAAATAACAATTGCATAACTATATGCAAAATGTTACTTGTAATTGAAATTCTTACATAATATGAAATGCTGTCAACGACGGATGAAGTACCAATAGGGACAGGAGTCCTTTTTAAAAAGGGGAATATACACTTCATATATAATAGTGATAACAAAACTTAACTGTCAAAAAGTCCAAACATTTGATATGCATAACTTAAGGGACTATGGGGAACCTTCATGTGAAATTTGAAAAACATCCCTCCAGCACTTTCTGAGATATAGTGCTAACAAGAATTTTTTAAGGATTGACAGACAGACGGAAGACGTACCACAGAGAAAGGTTGAATTGAAAAGCCCCATCAGATGGTGGGCTAAAAATCTGATTTGTATATATATATGCAAATATATGGGGTTTTTTTTATTTCCTACAATTTTTCAGATATTGAAGTCAATCGACCAACAATCCAGATGTTATAGTATTTGGACAAAGCTGAGATTTGTTAGATAAATAGGGGAAAAGAATCTCAACACCTGAAACGATGTTATACAGCAACACCTCACACACTGGAAAAAAAGCATTGGAGGGAGTTCCCACCCTGCGTAAGGCTAAGACCTGCCTATGTCATTTCCTGTACATGACATATACCTAGTTAGAAATAAGACCTGCCTATGTCATTTCCTGTACATGACCGATACCTAGTTAGGAATAAGACCTACCTATGTCATTTCTGGTACATGACCTATACCTAGTTAGGAATAAGACCTGCCTATGTCAATTCCTGTACATGACCTACACCTAGTTAGGAATAAGACCTGCCTATGTCATTTCCTGTACATGATATGACTGACCTGGTAAGTATCAAGACCTGCCAATGGCATTTCCTGTACATGATATGGCTGACCTGGTAAGGATCAAGACCTGCCTATGTCATTTCCTTTACATGATATGACTGCCCTGGTAAGGATCAAGCCCTGCCTATGTCATTTCCTGTAAATGATTGACCTGGTAAGAATCAAGACCTGCCTATGTCAATTCCTGTACATGACCTCCCTGATCTGACTAAGACCTGCCAAGGTCATTTCCCGTACATGATATGACTGACCGGGAAAGGATCAAGCCCTGTCTATTTCATTTCCTGTACATGACCTACCTGATCTGACTAAGACCTGCCAAGGTCATTTCCTGTACATAACTAGTACCTGGTTAGGACTAATACCTGCCAATGTTACTTACTGTACATGACCTATAACTGGTTAGGACTAATACCTGCCAATGTTACCTAATGTACATGACCTATAGCTGGTTAGGACTAATACCTGCCAATGTTACTTAATGTACATGACCTATACCTGGTTATGCCTCGTACCTGCCAATGTTAATTACTGTACATTTGTACATAACCTATACCTGGTTAGGACTAATACCTGCCAATGTTATTTACTGTACATGAACTATAGCTGGTTAGGACTAATACCTGCCAATGTTACCTAATGTACATGACCTATACCTGGTTATGCCTCATACCTGCCAATGTTAATTACTGTACATTTGTACATAACCTATACCTGGTTAGGACTCATACCTGCCAATGTTAATTACTGTACATGACCTATACCTGGTTAGGACTAATACCTGCCAATGTTATTTACTGTACATGACCTATACCTCCATAGGACAAATACAGGCCAATGTTTCCTGTACATGACCTACCTGATCCGGACTAAGACCTGCCTTTCTCATTTCTTCTTTTAAACTTGTGATATCAATCTCCATCTCATTTTCCTTGCTGACCATCAAGTAAGTTGTAAAGTTAGACACATCAAGCCCGTTTCCTGGTGACAGAGACACATACATATTTATATTACTGTACATGATTCACTCATGCAGTATGTAACCCGACAAGTATTTCTTTTATAGTGAGCCAAAGAATAATAATTACTTTCGTATTTCCTGCAAATTATAGTGTTTTTTACACTCGTTATGGCATGACATACAGTATTTTTTTGTTTTGTGTATTGTACATTTGTAACCAACCTTTGCAAGATTTCATGAAATTCCAGGTATTTGAGGCGATCCTTTTGCGTCTGAACTTGCGGACATTTAACACTTCACCAGTCATGCTGAGGAGATCACTCCACTGACTGTTGGAGATATGTTCACCTGCTTGTGCTAAAAACATTCAAATTAGTTACATTCAAATCTCTCTCAAACAAGTAAATATATCTTCATATACAGAGTATATGCATTTGAACAGGTGAATGATTTACTGATAAAATATATTCTATGCATTTGTCATAAAATATTCTGTTATTCTTTTGATTAATAAACTTTATTCTTTTACAACAATTCTCAAACTTGTTTTAGCAATTTATATTCATCACTATTGATGGCATGGTTTCAAGCATGTAGGGGTTTCTTAATGTGGAAAGAAATCTATGTACCTGGGGGGAAACCCACATAATCAGGTAGGTGATCACCTCGTTCCTTTTCACATCCTATCAGGGACTCAAACCCTCGATTACTTGGTAAAAGTTGAGTGCACAGTAGCTGTGCCACCCACCTGTTCTATCATTTATGGTTTTCTTGCCTTTTCTACAAGGATTGCTCAAGTTTTGTTTTTGTTTGACAAGATTTGAAGTTGGTTTTTTTTGTAGTTTATGCCAAAACAACCTTTCAAATTTGATTGTACTCTATTACATAAATTTCTCATTTTTTTCAAATCTTTTCTCATTTTTTTCAAATCTTAATACAAAGACTTATGCATGTTTATTTCTGTGGTACACCTATATTAATCATCAAGTTAATTACTGTTTCTGTATTCCAAAATTCCAAATTTTCAAACTTTTCCCATTTTTTTTATTACTGGTTGAGTTTGAGGCTGTCCCTTCCACGATTCATATCATGCCATTCTACCCATTAATTCTTTATAACGATAGTAGATACTTATAATACAATCATACAAACCACAACTGCTACTAAATATTAGCAACAAATTTCAGCGGGTTAATTGGGTCCTGTACACCATCAAATTCAATTAACAAGAGGCCCAAGAGAGCCTTATCGCTCACCTGAATATTTAAGCAGTCATAGCAAAATATTCTCATTAAATATTATATTGCACTAAAAATACTTCCCTCGCAAACTTTGTTGGCTCCATCTGTTGAAACTACCAGCAAAATATTATTATAAGATTCTATGCTTTTTGATTCTTCTTCAGAAGTTGCTGACATACTTTTCCCTGTGATCTTGTAAGTAGGTCAATGTCATTTTCCTTCTCAAATTGGTTAGCTCTATTCCAAAAAGCTACCAGCCTTTTAGTTCTCAAGAACAAATCCATTAAAATATTGTTGACCTCTGTGACCTCTAAAGTAGGTTGTGGTCATTTTCATTTGCAAACTTTGGTGAGCTCTATCCCGGGAAGTCACCAGCCAAATATTACAATTTTATGCCTTTTAATTCTTCAGAAGAAGCTGTTTGAACTGTTTGACATATTTGAAAGCTGTGACCTTGAAAGTAGGTCAAGGTCATTTTCATTCTCAAACTTTGTTCGGCTCTTTCCTAGGAAGCTACAAGCCAAATATAGAGATTATATACCTTTCAGTTCTTCAGAAGAAGTCGTTTGAAGTGTCTGACACATTTGACTCCTGTGACCTTGAAAGAAGGTCAAGGTCATTTTCATTCTCAAACTTTGTCGGGCTCTATCCAAGGAAGCCATCAATCAAAAATAAAGATTCTATACCTTTCAGTTCTTCAGAAGAAGTCATTTGAAGCTTTTGACATATATGACCCCTGTGACCTTGAAAGTAGGTCAAACTAGTTTTCATTCTCAAACTTTGTTGGGCTCTATCCCAGGAAGCCACCAGCCAAATATAAAGATTATATACCTTTCAGTTCTTCAGAAGAAGTCGTTTGAAGTGTTTGACACATTTGACCCCTGTGACCTTGAAAGAAGGTCAAGGTAATTTTCATTCTCAAACTTTGTTGGGCTCCATCCAAGGAAGCCATCAGCCAAATATGAAGATTCTATACCTTTTAATTCTTCAGAAGAAGTCGTTTGAAGTTTTTGACATATTTGACCCCTGTGACCTTGAAAGTAGGTCAAACTAATTTTCATTCTCAAACTTTGTTGGTCTCTATCCCAGGAAGCCACCAGCCAAATATAAAGATTCTATACCTTTCAGTTCTTCAGAAGAAGTCGTTGGAAGTGTTTGACACATTTGACCCCTGTGACCTTGAAAGTAGGTCAAGGTCATTTTCATTCTCAAACTTTGCTGGGCTCTATCCCGTGAAGCCATCAGCCAAATATGAAGATTCTATACCTTTTAGTTCTTTAGAAGAAGTCGTTTGAAGTTTTGACATATTTGACCCCTGTGACCTTGAAAACAGGTCAAGGTCATTTTCATTCTCAAACTTTGTAGGGCTCCTACCAACGAAGCTTTCAGCCAAATATCATAACTCTAGGCCTGTCCGTTCTTCAGAAGAAGTTGTTTAAAGGAAAAGTTGACGGACGGACGAACGACGGACGGACGACGGACGCCGCGCCACGGCATAAGCTCACTTGGCACTTCGTGCCAGGTGAGCTAATAACCGTCCAAAATTTCAAGAGAATGTTCCTCAATTCTATATTCTTATTCAGAAAACTCAACAAAATGACATGATGTTGATCGAGTCCAACAATTATAATAAATAAAATTAACAAGAGGCCCATGGGCCTTAACGGTCACCTGATATGTTTATACAGAGAGTTGATTTTTGTTTTTAACATGAACAGAAATATTATTCAAAGTGACAAAAATACAATAATACCACCTTTTTCAATATCTAGCATGCAGATTTAAGACTGAAAAGTATTTTAAACTAGCACCTCTGATTCTAAACAAGGAAAATGAAGAAATTTTATTTTAGCACACAGACTCGAGCCCCACCCTACAGCCCTTGGGGGTAGGGATGGCTCAAAATTTACAAAGTATCAAACTGTCAACTTTAGGGTTATAATTCCAATCAAGTTATCAACATGTAATATTCAAAGTATCATTTGCCATTATAAACCATACCCGGGGGGTCAGTCAGGGCTGATATGTGCATACCATCAAACTGCTATCCAATACTGATAATGCTAACTCAAATTGAATTACTTCCAGTGGCAATTAAACAAATGTTAGTCTAAAATGTGATTTCCCTATGTAAACTATAGTAAATTTTACCCCCTCCCCAGGGGGAAACGTGAGACCCCAGGGTCAAGAAATTCACAATTTTAGTAAAGCACCTTAAGACCCTTCTATTTATGAAGAGTATTTGATTCTACCATATCTGGATCTTGAGAAGAAGATTTTTGAAATTTTAGTCAATTTTACCCTTTTTGGCCCCGCCCCTCAGGCCCCTGGGGGCTGGGGACCATATAATTCACAATTTTAGTTGACCTTTGGCCTTGGAAGGTTTCTGCAAAATTTCACTGAAATTGGTTCAGGGGTTTTGGAGAAGAAGTCAAAAATGTAAATTGTTACGGACGCACGACGGACGACGAACGACGGACGACGCCGGACAAAAGGCGATCGCAATAGATTACTTGAGACTTTGTCTCAGGTGACCTAAAACTGATGGATATCTCCAGACAAGATTTTAATTTCAAAATAAACAAAGGGCAGGCAATAACTTAAACGAAGGGCAACAATTCTTTGAAATATTGCTAAAGGACAAACGGACAATGCCATACTCTAATGCACACTGTCAATTAGGTATTTGTGACAGTAGGCTCACTTAATAACGAAAATATCATACAAGACGCAGCAGAAAAAAAATGTTCTGAGTTATTGTTTGCTAGTTTTCAAAAATCTTAGTCAATCTTAAATGTGGTTTAGTGACACTTCTAGATACAAATTAAGGTGGAACGTTATTGACATTTCAGGGAATGGCTTTTGTTTGTTACATCATTAACAATCAACTTCAGGACACGTCTTCGTCTGTCATGATCAGCATTTACATGATCACAACCACAAATTACCTAGATTGACCAATTCAACCACACTTCACATTACATTTCAAATTAATTATAAACTCTTAAATGCAAGATTCAGCTTGAAAGTTGCTATAATTGTATTGATTTATTTATACATACTTTTATTTTTAAGTATTGCAGACGTTTTGATGAAAGGTACGATAGGAATGAATCGCCGTAGTTCTAAGTTTTTTCTCATCTTGTACATGGACGTCACAAAGACATCTAGCTCATCAGCTTTACTGGGTCTTTTCACTGTTTGGGCAGGGATTCGCATTGACTGCATAGTAGATAAAGTCCTACAATAAATCAAGACCTGGCAATAGATTGGAGCTTGTAAATAAAACAGTAATATTTTTGAACTCATTCACTCCTTAAATTTCATAATGATCTATTCTGACCTTTGAATTGGGGAATTAAAATGTGTCTTCAGGGGTGAATGCGTGAAAGAGATAAAAAGCAGATTTTCGTGGATGTGGGTGGCTATAAGTCTGAAATTGCGGAGTGCATTTTTGATACATAAATTTGCTTATACGGCATTACCATTATGTTTAAGCATTGCAGCAAAAAAATCCAATTTATATTGTATAATTATATTCAACTGTAGGAAAACCACAGGGAAAGTGTAGTACATGTACTAATCATTCAATGGGGGGTAATTATATAACTTGTACATTTTGAAAGAATATAGTGAGTTAATGCAATTGGTTTAATTTTGTACTTCAGCTCAGGAATTGATTATATTAGAAGTTACACTTGTATATATATGTATAGCGCTGTCAAAATGTATCAGAAAATGGGGATATCAATATATGCCTGTGTCACAACTGAATATTTTTCACAAGCTTGTTTTTTTATGTTTATACATATGCTACATGTACATGTACAGTACTTAACTACTACCAATGGTAAATCTGTGTGGTCCATAAGTATGATACATATATATAATACAGTTTGACAGCACTCCAAGACAGTTTCTCTTTAACTTATTTCCTATGTCAATATTTCCGGATATGTATTAATTGCATTCCTTCTGTATCACAAGATATCATGATACACCCTAGCAGGGATAATCCTGGAAGGGGCCATGGGGCCATTGACCGCTCAAAACTGAAACTGACCCCTCCATGTTCCAATTTTCTTTGAATTTTACATAGAATGACTCCCTCTTAATTTTGATATTGACTAAAAATTGCTGAAATGGCCCATTGCTCTCAAATTCCAAGATACTGCTCTAGGCATATGGTGACACCCATATATACACACCCAACCTGAACATTTTAATAATGGATGACCCGGTGTAATGAAATTTACAAGTTAGATAAAGCCCTGATGGTCTTTCCATCAGGGGTGTTTCTGACAAAGTGTGAATAATTTCCTGCTGAAAATGTACAAAATATATCCCAAAGTGTCATTTCTATACATGTATCAGTATAAACTATAGTAAACTTTACCCCCTCCCAAAGGGGGAACAGATGGGTCGGATATAAAGAAATTCATAATATTAAATAAAGATAAAGCCCCAGATAATCTTTCTATACATGCAGATAATTTGATTGTAGTATGTCTAGGTCAGTAAAACAGATTTTTGAAATATAGGGATTGGGGCAGAAATTCCAATTTCACAAGGGTGATCCTGAGCAAGTTTGAAAAATTCCATCCACTTGCATGTTCCTTAAAAGAAGTTAAAATATAAAATGTTTACAGACGACGCAAGACCATAGAGAAAAGGTGTTTGAAATAGTTATATAAAGTTTACGCCGGACGGAAGAATGACGGATGATGGATGACAGACGCCAAGTCACATCATAAGTTCACTTGGCCCTTCGGACCAGGTGAGCTAAAAATCAGGTCACATAGGCGAGTGGCAAAATGTAAACAAATTGATTGTCAGACCGAGACAACGGTGGTTTGGATTACTTAACTGTTATACAGGTCTGACACATTATAACACCTTCTGTTTATCTGAAATACACATATTCTATACTGATATGGGTCACAGAACTTGAAGGGCCTTATGATTTTATGCTGTATTTGGCAATATACCGGGTATGGTATAAATACCTTGCGAAAAGCCCTTGTCATTTCCGGATCAGACAAATATTAATTATGTCGGTAAAACTGCAAATTCTCCAAAAAATGCTCGACTGGATGTATTAGACGACTGATTACACAATTGATCATCATGGATTACCTTATTCAAAACGAAGCTATCGCCACAGTTATCTGGAAAAAATAACAAAAGTCACCTCGTACAGGTTTGGGGGTAAGTTAATACAGGTTCTTCATCACCGTGTACAGGTTTGGGGTTTGGTGGTACCAGTAGTGCTCTGACGAAGCTTCTTCCCTGTGTATGTGCAGCAGGTTTTGATTGTAAATAGGATTATGGTCACCTTCTAGCTTCGAGCTAGAAGGAATTTCCCTTTAGCTCAGTGGAAGAGCGTCCGACTTAGGAACCTGGAGATCGACGATTCGATCCCCAGTAGCAGCACACTATTCTCTTTCCTGTGACTCATAGCAGTATAGTATAGTCATATATGTGTATTTCAGACATTTGTAACGAACCCATGTAGGCAAAGTTTGTAAAAGTAAGCAAAATGTTTCAATATTCATTCCTAGGTATATTGTTTATTAAAGTTTATGTGTTGCCAAAATGTGGCACTCGTGCTCTTGTCTACTCTGGCTCGGCCTGACATTTTACTGACATACACTAACAGTATGCTCAAATACAAATAATAAACTCAATATTATTATAAATAGTTGCGTAAAAAGACATGTCCTTTATCGCGTACGTGTGTACTTAAACATGCAGTGATAAACCGATTGTTACCTGATACATTGTTGAAAAATACATAAATCGTGATTAAGAGGAACATGATTTTTAACCATGATAACTGTTAGTAACCGAGGTCCGCAAAAGAGGGAATACACTGGTGGTGCCTTTCTGCAGAAAACCCGCATGGACGCCGCCATGTTGTTGACTGTGAGTTGTAAGAAAAGTTGTCAGTAATATTGAAACGAAACGAACCACCAAAGTACATAATCAATCCGAGAATACTATCTGCATCAATTCAATGCGTTTAGTTAGAAGAAAATTAAGAACGTTAAATCTGATTCATGATATCGTATTTCTTTCTGATGTAAGGGAGAAATATCAAAAAGAAAAATATTAGATAACACTGATTACTTGTTACTTCAAATAGTTATTCTAAAAGAGTAATGAGAGACTGTTAATGAGAACTTTGATGGTTGTGCAGCTTATGGCCGCGGTAGTTCGTTTTTCACTATGAAATTATGTAATTTGAAATTAAACCAATACACCTCTAAATCACAGGGAACTGAGAGTTTGTTACATTTCTATTTGAACAGCTGTATGATACAGGGAAATTAATTTGGGCACACTGTATTAGTAGTGTATATGATAGAGGGAAATTCATTTGGGCACACTGTATTATAGTGTATATGATACAGGGAAATTCATTTGGACACACTGTATTATAGTGTATCTGATACAGGGAAATTCATTTGGGCACACTGTATTATAGTGTCTATGATACAGGGAAATTCATTTGGACACACTGTATTATAGTGTATCTGATGCAGGGAAATTCATTTGGGCACACTGTGTTATAGTGTCTATGATACAGGGAAATTCATTTGGACACACTTTATTATAGTGTATCTGATACAGGGAGATTCATTTGGGCACACTGTATTAAAGTGTATATGATACAGGGAAATTCACTTGGACACACTGTATTATAGTGTATCTGATGCAGGGAAATTCATTTGGGCACACTGCATTATAGTGTATATGATACAGGGTAATTCATTTGGGCACACTGTATTATAATGTCTATGATACAGGGAAATGCATTTGGGCACACTTTATTATAGTGTATATGATACAGGGAAGTTCATTTGGGCACACTGTATTATAGTGTACATGATACAGGGAAATTCATTTGGGCGCACTGTATTATAGTGTATATGATGCAGGGAAATTCATTTGGGCACACTGCATTATAGTGTATATGATACAGGGGAAATTCATTTGGGCACACTGCATTATAGTGTATATGATACAGGGAAAGTCATTTGGGCACACTGTATTATAGTGTCTATGATACAGGGAAATTCATTTTGGCACACTGTATTATAGTGTATAGGATACAGGGAAATTCATTTGGGCGCACTGTATTATAGTGTATATGATGCAGGGAAATTCATTTGGGCACACTGCATTATAGTGTATATGATACAGGGGAAATTCATTTGGGCACACTGTGTTATAGTGTCTATGATACAGGGAAATTCATTTTGGCACACTGTATTATAGTGTATATGATGCAGGGAAATTCATTTGGGCACACTGCATTATAGTGTATATGATACAGGGAAAGTCATTTGGGCACACTGTATTATAGCGTATTTGATACAGGGAAATTCATTTGGGCGCACTGTATTATAGTGTATATGATGCAGGGAAATTCATTTGGGCACACTGCATTATAGTGTATATGATACAGGGAAGTTCATTTGGGCACACTGTATTATAATATCTATCATACAGGGAAATTCATTTGGGCACACTGCATTATAGTGTATATGATACAGGGGAAATTCATTTGGGCACACTGCATTATAGTGTATATGATACAGGGTAATTCATTTGGGCACACTGTATTATAATATCTATCATACAGGGAAATTCATTTGGGCACACTGCATTATAGTGTATATGATACAGGGAAATTCACTTGGACACACTGTATTATAGTGTATCTGATACAGGGAGATTCATTTGGGCACACTGTATTATAATGTCTATGGTACAGGGAAATTCATTTGGGCACACTGTTTTATAGTGTATATGATACAGGGAAGTTCATTTGGGCACACTGTATTATAATGTCTATGATACAGGGAAATTCATTTGGACACACTTTATTATAGTGTATCTGATACAGGGAGATTCATTTGGGCACACTGTATTAAAGTGTATATGATACAGGGAAATTCATTTGGCACACTGTATTATAGTGTATAGGATACAGGGAAATTCATTTGGGCGCACTGTATTATAGTGTATATGATGCAGGGAAATTCATTTGGGCACACTGCATTATAGTGTATATGATACAGGGGAAATTCATTTGGGCACACTGCATTATAGTGTATATGATACAGGGGAATTCATTTGGGCACACTGTATTAAAGTGTATATGATACAGGGAAATTCATTTTGGCACACTGTATTATAGTGTATATGATGCAGGGAAATTCATTTGGGCACACTGTGTTATAGTGTCTATGATACAGGGAAATTCATTTTGGCACACTGTATTATAGTGTATATGATACATGGATATTCATTTGGGAACACTGTATTATAGTGTATATGATACAGGAAAATTCATTTGGGCACACTGTATAAGTAGTGTACACACTGTATTAGTAGAGTACACACTGTATTGGTAGTGTACACCCTGTATCGGTAGTGTACACACTGTATTAGTAGAGTACACACTGTATTGGTAGTGTACACGCTGTATCAGTAGTGTACACACTGTCTTAGTAGTGTACACACTGTATTGGGAGTGTACACACTGTATCAGTAGTGTATACACTGTATCAGTAGTGTACACAATGTATTAGTAGTGTACACACTGTAGCAGTAGTGTACACACTGTATCAGTATTGTACACACTGTATCAGTAGTGTACCCACTGTATTAGTAGTGTACACACCGTATTGGTAGTGTACACACTGTAGCAGTAGTGTACACACTGTATCAGTAGTGTACCCACTGTATTAGTAGTGTACACACTGGATTAGTAGTGTTCACACTGTATTAGTAGTGTACACTCTGTATTAGTAGTGTACACACTGTATTGGTAGTGTACACACTGTATTTGTAGTGTACACACTGTATTAGTAGTGTACACACTGTATACACATAAAAGGTGCCTTCACCAGTGTGACGTGTGTTATGTCCAGCCTTAAAATGGTAACTGCTCTTACTGGATCAACACCACAGCGAAATTTAGCAAATGTCCATAAAACTAAACGAAAACAGAAATGCATGTATTATTATTTAATATGATCCAAAAACAAAAATGTCGAAACCCGCATCAAACTCGGCCAACCTAATGCCGCGATATTGACGCACGTAAAATGTGCGATTTTCACCTGTTCTTCTCCTACTAATTAGCATAATCTTTGCTGTGACGTCACAAGTTAAGCGACATACAGCGTCAGTTGCGAATTTAATATGAATTTTGAGGAATCAAATTATGCTGCAGATCACATGATATGTATATTATGTATCCAGCCATATCAAATAGCTATGGGAGATTTCTGCCCATATTTCCCTAGGTCGGCTATGGAAGATGTCTGCCCATATTTCCCTAGGTCGGCTATGGAAGATGTCTGCCCATATTTCCCTAGGTCGGCTATGGAAGATGTCTGCCAATATTTCCCTAGGTCGGCTATGGAAGATGTCTGCCCATATTTCCCTAGGTCGGCTATGGAAGATGTCTGCCCATATTTCCCTAGGTCGGCATTTATGAAAACGGAAAAAAATATTCACAAGTAAATAATTTCTAGTAACGAAACTGCATGGAATAGATATTAAACCACGGACTTAGATCTAATCTAATTCCGTGATAAAACCAATTGAATATGAGATATTAGGTAATCAGTTTGCAATCATGTTCCAAGTCCGTGGTTATACTATATACTATGGTACCATTACGGTCCAAAAATACGGAAATGTATCACCACGACTTAGATAACTGAACATGTTAACAAAATTACTTCAACCACGGAATTAGATTAAGTCCGTGCTTCAACGTTGGTGTCTGCTATGTTTTTGAATGGCAATAAAACGCAAGGCATGTGATTAATATTATCATATAATCACAAATTGACGACATTGATTGTGTCTTCCTTGTGTTAGGTCCACAGTTCAAATAAACAGCAAAATACCGACAAACAGTTGCACATTTATTCATGTTAATTTCATACAATACTTATGTATGCGATGCTCAGTTATATTTATCTCGAAAAATAATTGAATTATGAGATTCAAAATGAAAGCAATACTCCGTATGTTAATATACACAATATAATTTATATCTTGGTTCAATGATAAAAATCATTTCGACCCACTCCCTTCGCCTACTTGGGTGCGAGATTTGTGCACACGTAAGTAACACTTTGCACACCTGTGTCCAGTGCTGACAGCAGGAGGTCCAAGACACACCTGTGTCCAGGTATGGCATCAAAGGGATGTCAGCAGGTGGGCAAGGGGGTATAGTTATAGTGTGTAGATTATGTGTCTTCCAATTTTCCATTTAACAACAATGTCCTGAAACTAGATAACGGGGAAATGAATAAGGATCAATATCAAAGAAAAATATGAATAAATGAGAAATGTAAGCCAAAGGCTAACCAGAACTGTAAGCTAAAGGCTATCTAAGGCAAAGCATTGAAAAGCAATCCATAGTCTCCCACCAGTAATGCTTTCTTTATTCACTGAGCTTTGCACTTATTTAAGTATATAGGTCACTGACATACTTCCTGTACTCCCTATCCCAATGCCAACACATATAAAGTTGCAAACCAAATCTTGTTAGACCAGATGAAACAGTTTTGCTGAAATCGTCCTATTAGTTAAGGAAGGGTTGTCAGGACAAAGATTTTTAACAACGGGCCATACGGTAACTCCTTAAAATGGGTGGAAATGAAAAAATACTACCCTGATGCACGACATTAGGGGGTACCATGATATTTAAACTTCCATTGAAATCGTCCCAGTAGTTTAGGAGGCGGACGAAGGTTTTTTTTTCACGAAAGGGCCGTAATGGCCCTTTTAAAAGGGTCAGAATGAAAAAGTACTACATGTACTTGGATGCACTACGTTAGGGGACAGTTCCCGTCTCTGTAATCTTTCTTTGAAATTGGCCCGGTAG